AATAGAGACGAACCTTAGAGCTTTGCATTGTACAGACGAGAGCGCATGCTGCGCAAGATGATAAAGTGGATAAAGTGTTGGCGCACTTCGATGATTTTCGTTCGAGGATGAAAACCGAAACCTTTTACCAGCTGTTGTGCGTTTGAAGATTGTCGTTGAAGATTCGGACCGATCCACAAGTCGATCCTTGAAATACAGCGCCTCTTTCACTGCTTCCGACATTGCCAAGTACTCTGATTCCGTATTCAATAATGTAACAGTACGTTGCTTACGCGCCCTCCAAGATATGGAAGCGTCAGCCAGGATGAATGCTTGCCCCGAATAAGAGCGTCGGTCCGATAGAATGGACCCCCAGTCTGCATCCACGACACCATTAATGTCATCTCCAGTCTTCTTGAAGAGTAACCCAAGTGTCTTCGTACCTTTTAAGTAGCGTAGGATACGCTTCGATGCCTTCCAGTGCTTATCTGAGTAGTTAGAGTTAAACTGACTCAAGAAATTCACTGCGTACGCGATGTCTGGTCGCGTAGAAACTGCAAGAAACGTTAAAGAACCAAGTAAGCTTTGATAAGGATACCGTTTTATGTCCTCCTCGTCTGGGTTCTCTGGTTGCTTTAGTGCTGACTTTGCCTCGATCGTTGTGATAGCCATCTTGCAGTCTTCTCTTGGCCCATGAAAACTGTCTGCTTGCGCTTGTCCTGTTTGAATTCGATGCCCAAGCATGTATTGACTGGTCCAAAATCTTTCATCTTGAATGGTTCTCCCAGGTGGGCTTTGGTCTCTTGCAACCAATAGTGATTATATGACACCAAAAGCAAATCATCTACATATATAGTGGCCAGTAGAAGTTTTCCTTTTCCCTGTTTGACGAAAAAATGTGGATCTTGCTCGGTTGTATTAAGTCCGATTTCCTTAAGCTTCTCTGTAAGCTTGCAATACCAACGAAGCCCCGATTGACGAAGCCCGTAAAGTGACTGGATCCTTCAATTGTTTTAAGTATTTTCGCCAAAATCTGTACTCTCTAGATGCAAGCTCTTGCTTCGATTTGGGCACCCGATTCCAGTTTTGCCATGAACTCGCTAAAACTCTCTGGAATGTCCATAAATATATGTTCTTCTAGCTCACCGTTTAGGTAGGCGGTGACGACGTCCATGTATTTCCATGTGATATTCTGCTGATAGTGCTGCCAAAAGTCGTACTGACGTGAATCGCGCTACAGGTGAGTAGGATTCAAAGAAATCTTCTCCAGGTTTCTGAGCATAACCCTTGGCAACCAAACGGGCCTTCTTTTTCCGTAACGAGCTGCCATCATCTTTTGTATGGAAGCCACCTTGTTTCCAATTACCTTGCGATTCTCCGGGCGTTCTGTTATCTCTCAAGTTTTGTTGAGAACTTGAGCCATAACCTCGTCTTCCACTGCGCGTGTCTAGTTTACTGCCTCTTCAGATTGAAATGCTTTTTTTGTCCCGTCTCTCTACAACAGGAATCTCCTCTTCTTTTTCGCTGCTGCTTGAGGATTCATCTACTTGTTCGTCCGGTAAGTTATTTGTCTTCTGCATGCTTACTTCTCCTTCAGGTTCGTTCTCGTAAAATTCTTCATAATGACTTTTGAATCCAGATGTATTCAGAAACTACGTCATTACTCACCACTATGGATCTCCTTTTTGGGGAGTATAATCGATAGGCCTTCGATTCTGCAGCATAACCAACTAATATGCATTCCTCTGATCTTGACTCGAACTTTCCCTTATTTGTTCCTTTTATTAATGCATACGCCATTGTTCCTTTGTGCGTAAATACATAACCGTAGAAATTTTACTTGTCCAACAAGTGTAAGGCAGCTCTCCAAATAGATTCTTTGTTGGGCACCTGTTCCGTAGGTAGCAAGCTGTGCAGATAGCTTCCGCCCAGAATGACGGTGAGGCTCCCGTTTGTTTCATCATACACCTGGCCATTTCTACCAGTGTACGCTCTGCCATGCCGTTTTGTTTGTGGAGTATGTGGGGCAGACAGACGTCGACTAATCCCATTTAGTCGCAAGAAATTGTCAGATTCTTTGTTTCGGAACTCTGTTCCATTATCGCTTTGTAACTGTTTGATTTTATTTCCGGCTACATTTTCAGCTAATGCTTTAAACGATTTAAAAATAAACGTAACTATATCGCGAATAGTCATATATAAATGTAACAAAGTACTTGCAGCCACTTATGGACTGTGTACGCATTGGTCCACACACGTCACTGTGCACAATTTCTAGAGTTTTCTGCGATCTCTTTTCGTAGCACTTTTATAAGTATTTGCCGTTTGCTTTTCGCAGATGCAAATTTCACACTGCTATGGTTTTTCATTTTCTTTTATGTTCATTCCGTGAACTTTTCCGCATATCGACATCTTCTTTAAATCTTTTTCATTTAGAAGGCCAAACCGACGATGCCATGTTTCTATTTCGCCTTCCTTTCGATACTCAAATAATACAAATTTCCGTATTTCTTCGCTCGAAGCCAAACTTCATTATTTTCCTTCATAATTAAAGCTTTATCCTTACGAAAACGCACTTGGTAACCCTTTTCCGTTATTTTGGAAACGGAAAGTAAATTTTGGCGAAGGTCCGACACAAACAAAACGTCTTTAAAAGTAATCTCTTCATTTCTCTTTCATTGTATGTCAATTTTCACATCACCGACACCATTAACCTTTGTTATGTTACTATCGGCCAAATGCAATGTTTTTTCAACACTTATTATTTTCTTGAACATTTTCTTATTGGAATTCATGTGTGCCGAACAACCGCTGTCCAGGCACCACATACCATTATGCCCTTAGGATATGTATGCGTGTTCATTTACGTTCATTGTCATCTCCTTTTTGTACCAATTTCCTTTGTTTTCGCATTCCTCGATTTTCGCACTAGAGTTCTCTTGCGGTTTCACACGGCAATTTCGTGCAAGATGTCCGACTTTGTTACACACAAAACATTTTCTGGTCTCCTTATGAGCTTTGTTCTCTTTGCCGATTCCCTTTCGGTTTGCGTACAGTGCACTTTGTTCCTCACGATTACTCTTCGTTTTTCACACCTCCGATTCTTCCAATATTTTAACACGAAGCACATCTGGACTTGGTAAGTCGACTCGGGTCTAATCATCGCCAATGGCTACTCCGATCTCTTTCAACTTCTTTACCGCATCGAAAAAACCGTTGATATGGAGGCGCGCATCGTCTCCCTCACTCATTCGCGACAATGCTACCCGTTTTAACAAGCTGGCCTTTCGCACCGGCCCCTTTGATTGAAATGTTTTTTGTAATTTCAACCAATAATCACTTGATGTGGCACAATCCCCGATTAGTCCTAACCCAGATGTACTTATCGACAAAAGTATATCTGCTCGGGCTTTTTCGTCTTTTATGGGCTATTCTGCCAGATATTCTTCATCACTGGGGCACTTTTTCGTACCATTTACGTATGGCCATAAATCGTTTTTCACAAGTATAGCACACAAGATTGGATGGATGCGATACCGAGTGAAACGGTGCATTCAAGTTACACACTGCTCCAGATGTTTTGGGCACTAACCATACAACATATAGACTGTTCAATTCATACAACGAATCATGCCCAGGAGTACTTCGTGTGCGTTCGGGTTTTTTGCCCTCTCATTCTTATTCTCATTTTGATGCTCGCGCACTCATTGCACGAGTTCGGTCGTTCAGTCGCAGAGAGGCGCATTTTGAAGAAGGTTCCGTCTGCGCTTGAATTGCTCTTTATATATAAGCGTGTTCAAGCAGATGACCAGGTGTCCCAAATAGTACTGGAACATTGCGTGGATTTGGTTATAATCTGCGAACAATATAGAGTGAAACAACCCGGTATCTGGCTGGAAAATGATGATATGACTACAGCTATATGGATCCCAGCTGCGGATGACATACGCTGTTTCGGTGATGGTAGAAGTAGCTGCTACGTATATGTACAACTTAAGGAATTCACCATATTCAGTTGTTATCTAACCCCTAACGATTCAATAGAAGCTTTCCAACATAAAATCGATGACATTGAAGACATAGCTTGGCAAATGTTTAGCCTTATAGTAACTGGTGACTTCAACTCTAGAGCAGAAGAATGGGGCATGCCAACAACCAACAGCAACCAAACCAACAGAGGCCGAAAAATTCTTAATATATCAGTAAGAAGTCGCTAACGTGGGCAGAGCTCCGACGTTTCAGCGAATGGGCCAAATAGGTACAATACCGGATATAACGCTAGTATCGGAGAACTCATCGCACAGAATATTAGACTGGAAAGTCTTAGACATCTACAATGAAAGCAACCACGAGTACAAATTTTTCAGTACTAAAGGAAGTAGGGCTCAGCATTCAGGAAATCAAACATCGAATGTTAACCTACTACGAAAAATTAACAGGAACCAAATCGAAATCAATGAGAGAGTTCTTGTGATGCTGTCCCCTAGGCGAGGGGCAGAGATATACTGGTGGACGGACGAGATAAATGCTTTAATGGAGACTAGCCTCCGCTATAGGCGTCATCTCACACGAGCTAGGAGAAACGGGAACTTCGCTACACAGGAGGAGGAGTACAAGAAGGCGAAAAAGCTTCGTAGTATAGCCATAAAGACCTGATTGCGGGCGATGGTAGTGCAAGATGCAGAAGAAATTTTTCCCCTCAGACCAAAAATATGGTAATTGTTATCGTTGTAAACCAAGTTTCTAACACTTTTGTTTTTTTTTTTATGAAATTACTCCTAAAGAGTACAGAAATCCCAGTGCAGAAAAGTTGAAGAATTGTAAATAAATAAAACGTAATTACCTACGAACTGCCAATTTGAGTTATTCTACTTCTTTTGTTGTGAATTTAGATCTCTTTGGCTCATTTACCCTGTCTAATTAGATAGGTTAGATAGGTAGACTTTCTGCATCAATTTATCAAAAATTTTAGGTTGTTGCCTTTTTAAATAAATTAAAATAAACACTTATTCATTTGTTACCTTGCAATCGAATGCGTGATTCACTCTTGCCAAGCGCATTCACGCTTGAACAACTGTAAGCTCCAAAATCTGATTTAGTCAGATGTTTTATTGTGAGGTTGAGATGCCAAGTGTACAAGTTAATCATTTCCTCAGTAATATTATATTTGTTCCCGTTGTGCAGCTTAAAATTTCCTAGCAAATATTTTATTTAGTAGTTACTCATGGTTACGAAGAACATCACATTTACCTTCATTTCGGTACCATCCATTAAGTGGTTTGGGATACACCTCCACAATGCATTCTAAAGTTACCTCTCTTTCCACGGGTGCACCGACCAATTGATTACTGGCTTTTATTATTGGAGAAACTGAAAGAAATTAATTCATTTTTTAAAAATACTTAAAAGTGTTTGTTACGGTTATTATGTTTTCAGGTTACTTTAGGCCAAAACATTCACACTCGGTCCGAGAACCTAACACGAAATGTAACCAATTAGACCCTTACCACTTGAACGGTCCCACGATCCAAAACTTACGAGGGCAGTCAGATAAGTACTTAGCCTCACCGCCCGATGGCGTCACTATCGCAAGAGAAATTTACTATCGTGTAGTACATTCTCGTAGACGGCTACTGTCGACATTTCAGCCGAATCGCACTCGTAGTTTTGTTTTGACTGCGTGTGATATCGGACGTGTTCGCAGATTTTAGAAAAATGGAGAAAGAGCCATATCGGTCTGTAATTAAATTCTTGTTTTTGGAAGGGAAATCGCGCAGCGAAATAAAAGAGCCCTTGGATGCTGTGTACGGTGACTCTTCTCTTTCGATCGTCAAAAATTGGTTTAACGAGTTTCAACGTGGTCGCACGTCGGTTTTTGATGAGCCACGCCCAGGTGCCCCGAAAACGGCTGCAACGGAGGATAACGTGACAAAAATCCACGATCTCGTATTGGCAGACCGCCGATTAAAGACACGCGAGATAGCTGAGACAGTAGGCATGTCAAAAGACTGCGTGGGTCATATCCTGCATGAAATTTTGGGCATGAGAAAGCTGTCGGCGCGATGGGTGTCGCGTTTGCTCACTCCCGACAACAAAAGCAACAGTGAGACCACTTCAGAGCAGTGTTTGACGCTGTTTAAGCGCAATCCGAAGGAGTTTCTGCATCGTTTCGTGTCTGCCGACGAAACATGGATCCACTGGTGCACACCAGAGACCAAGGAACAGTCGAAACAGTGGACTTCACCCGGCGAACCTGCTCCGAAGAAGGCGAAGACTTTCCCATCGACCAGAAATGTGACCATCGACTACCTGGAGAAGGGCAAAACGGTCACAGGGAATTATTGGACCGATTCGCCGCCGAATTGCAGAAAATACGGCCCCATTTGGCAAAGAAAAAAGTGCTCTTCCATCATGACAACGCACCGGCTCACGTTCACCCTCGCCAAGGCCAAATTGGTCGAATTGGGCTACGAACTGCTACCCCATCCACCATATTCTCCAGATTTGGCCCCGTGTGACTTCTTTTTGTTTCCAAACTTAAAATAGTCACTTGCTGGACAGAAATCGAATGAGAAGGTCGTCGCCGCCACAGAGGCCTATTTTGCAGACCTCGAAAAAACGGATTTTTCAGATGGGTTAAAGAAGTTGGAGCATCGCTGGGTCAAGGGTATCGAGCTAAAAGGAGATTATGTTGAGAAATAAATCGCCACTTTTCCAAAATTTTCGTTTTCCTTTTGGAGGCTAAGTGCTTATCGGACCACCCTCGTATTGTAAACATTTTTCCCTTCATAAAACAAAAGAGTTAGACATAAACAAATTTAATCAAAAATCAGCTGGAACCAAATTATTAGTATATATTAGTATATAACAAATCGCCAATGACCCAAACGTTTCACCCTTGATTCCTACAGCCCAAAACTGCTGACCTCTTTAAATTTCGGATAATACAAAGTCCAATCTTCCACAAAGGACTTTTCATTATTCTCGAAAGATCACAAAGCCTCCCATGTAAATTTGAAGCCTTAAAACGTCTTAAGCTGCGGTTCGCCCTTTGAATAGAATCGGTAGGATGTACTTAAACATAGTGATCGTTAAAGGATTTCATTTAAAATCCCTATTAATCGTGGAAAATATTTCGCTAGTAATCTAAAAAAATTAGATAAAGCTATTGAACAAAAATCAAAATCTCGAGCCTTTCAGCGTAGAAGACACAATACGCTGAAAGGCTCATGCAAGGCATAGTTAGATCTACAATGATTTAATATTAGGGGAGTATAATTTCTAGTTAATCTACTTGGCACAGAAAAGTTTACCCGACTTACGAAGTCGGGTGAGTCAATATCAACATGTACAAGGTTATAAATGAAGACAGTACCAAGCATCGTTCTACGGTTGGTTAGGGAGGGTAAATTAATCAGCAGAGATCTACTAGAATAAGAAGGTAAGTTAAGATTTGCATCCCAGTTTAGGCTCCGTAAAGCAAAAAGAAGAAAGTTTTTTTGTACTGATTCAATACGACCAATATGTATTTCGTATTGTGGACTCCAGACGTTAGACCCATACTGCAGAATCGGACGGACTAACGAAATAAATAAAGTTTTAGTTAAATAAGGATCATCGAATTCTTTTGACCACCTTTTAATAAATCCAAGCACTCCTCTGGCTTTATTAACCATGGACGAAATGTGGTTTGAAAATTTTAGTTTAGGGTCCAAGAGAACGCCAAGATCTTTTACAAGAGTTATTCTATCCAAAGATCTGCCACTTAATGTGTAAGTCGCATTTATCGGATTGACCCGCTAAAAAGTCATCAGCTTGCACTTGGATGCGTTTAAATTTTAGTAAATTATCAGTTTTGAAAATGATCTAGATCGAATTGCAAGTCTAAATGGCAGGAAATGTCCTTATACTGCAGGCACAATTTAACATCATCTGCGTACACAAGTACACGAGAATGATTGATTGATAAATTGAGGGAAGATCGTTAACAAATAATGTAAAAAGTAACGAGCCCGGATGGCTCCCTTGTGGGACACCGGAGGTAACACAGAGAATTTGTGACCTTTGTGACCTGCCATTCAGATAACTTGAAATCCATTTAAGCAGAACAACTGTAAAATCTAACAGGTCAAATTTTTAAACAAGAAATAAGTGATTTACAGAGTCAAATGCTTTACTAAAATCAGTGCCTTTTATCAGGTTTGTGATTGTGGATCTACGTTTAATAAATCCGTGTTGACTCGGAGAAATGATTGATCTACAAAGGTGCTGCAAGTGAGGAGTAATGATGTTTTCAAAAAGCTTAGAAATACCTCTGTAGTTACTGGCGTCTAACTTGTACCTTTTTTGAAAAGAGGAATAACAAATGATTCCTTCAAAATATTTGGGAATTGGGAAGTTTCTAGAGATAAGGTAAACAACTTGTGAAGAGGTTTGCACAGGGCCTTAGCGCAATACCTAAGCACACACCCAGGAATACCATCGAGCCCTGGCGAATAAACAGGCTTAATACGAAGAAGATCCAAAAGAAGAGACCTTTCTGTTAAAGTGGGACAGAATATGAGGTTTGACTTGGATATGGTGTAAGAATAAGGCTGTGATGAATAATATATAGTTGAGTAAGTCGTTTGAAAAAATTGGGCAAATAAATCGGCTATTGCCTGATCTGTGGTTGTCGTCATGTTTTCGAGCGACAGCGAGGATGGAAAAGAATTAGATTTACGCTTGGTGTTAACGAAATTATAAAACTGTTTCGGGTCCTGAGAGAACTGGACCTTAGAACGGTTTAAGTAACTATTATAACCCTGAGCATTAAGCACTGTAAATCTTGACCGAGCACTCAAATATCTAGTAAAAACAGATTGAGAACCGGTATTTTTATATTTCCTAAAAAGTCTGGACTTTACATTTCTTAAGTGTGTCAACTCTTTGCTAAGCCAAGGTGATTTATTGGAAATTGACGGAAAGTACCACGGAACACAGGAATTAAAAAATGAGTTTATTGCAGTGTAAAAAACATTATCTTATGCTGAGTGGCCGGATTTTCTTGCAACGTTCACCGCGGTCATTGGAAATGATGACGAGCTAAGCGACCTTCAAAAGCTGCAATATTTACGGTCTAGTCTAGGCGTCGTGGCTCTAGAGGCCTAACAAAGTTTTACATTTTCAGGCACACGATCAGGCAATATTTGGTTTAAAAGGTGTCGAGAAGCCATCTGCCAAGGGATCTGAGTTATCTTCCTGGACTGCTATGGAGTCGTTTTTGGAGAGGAGGATGATGGAAAATTTGGATCAAGCCTTGGTAACGCAAACACCAGGCCTTCAGGTGGGGCAAACTGTGCATAAATATAAACCAAGTGCATTCATTGCGTCTTCTACTAACTTAAATTATCCAATATGCCTATTTTGCGATGCGAGATATCATTATTTTCCAAAGTGCTCTCGATTTTTAAATTTGAGCCCGCATCTTCGATTTAGAGAAGGCAATTAAATGAACCTTTGTCTGAACTGTTTGCGCAAGGGGCATAGTTTGCAGCAATGTAAAGCAACTAATTGCAGATATTGTCGCATGAAGCACCTCTCACTATTGCATATGACCCCTGACTCATCCGTACCACCTCCATCATCAGACCCACTCTCGAGCTCTCAGCCATCACCATCTACTTCATCAGCACTAGTGTCATGCTCACAACCTGATCGTCAGGTATCGCACCCTCCACCAAATGCTTCAACTATTGTGCCAATAAATTACGTGTTGCTGCCAACTGCTATTGCCTATGTAAAAACAAGAGAGAACGCTATAGTCGAGTGCCCCGACTATCAGATACCCGTTACTCAGGTAAAAGGAGTGCGAGGGAGATGGAGATAGAAACTTTGATCACGCATAACTTTTTAACGAATGGTCCGATTTGAAAAATTTCTTCTACATTTCGATAGGTATTGATAAACACAATAAAACTGCATTTTTACTTTTCCGAAATATTTAAATTTTTAAAATCGTATATAAGCGATTGTGGGCGTTAAAGGGGCGTGGCACCAGTTTGAAACAAACTTGCGCTGCGTAGGAACTCCTAAAATCTACATGCAAAATGCCAATCTTCTAGCTTTTATAGTTTCCGAGATCTCAGCGTTCATACGGACGGACAGACAGACGGACAGACGGACATGGCTATATCGACTCGGCTAGTGACCCTGATCAAGAATATATATACTTTATAGGGTCGGAAACGCTTCCTTCTACCTGTTACATACTTTTGCACGAATACAATATACCCTTTTACTCTACGAGTAACGGGTATAAATAGGGTTGGTTCATTTATACCCTGTCGAGCAATCTTATATTCTGCTTCTCAATTAGACAGTTAAATTTG